CTCATTTAAAAAGCATCAAATAACAAATGGGCTGGCTAACTATTAAAAATCTGATAAATAAAACAAAGATATCCTCATAGAAATCAAGATTAAACCCAAGTGTTGCAGGAGTTAAATGACAAACTTGTTAAAACGGGAACAGTTCAATACATCTTATTTTTATGGAACCAAAAGGTTTCATCACCACTTCTGATTGATGGAATTGGAAGAAACTGAACAAACTATCGTGTTGCGAAACTGTAAAAATCGCAAGCTTTTAAAAACATAAACTATTCTCTCTATGAGTCAATCAAATATCCATTCTAAGTTTAAAAAGAAATCCAATATCCATTCTAAGTTTAAAAAATAATAGTCAAATATCCATTCTAAGTTTCAAAAAAAATCAAATATCCATTCTAAAATCTTAAGCAACCTTACAAATTCAATTTGAAAACAAGTAAAGGAGCAAGCATAGGACTAAAAAGCATAATCATTTCATTGGAACTAGAGCTTAAAAACATAAACCGCTGATGTTACACAAAAAACCAGTTGTAAATAGCCTATTCTCCATCTGTTATATAGCTCAAACAATCCAAGAAATGTATTCTTTTGTGAAAGAACAACCTCCATAATAACCACCATACCAATTTTCCCAAGCAGAGGAACTAATACAAGCTTTTATATCAAAAGTACAGTCTCATTTTATACAGTTCCTAACATTAAAGGGGGAACTAATACAAGCTGGTATTATTTAAACTAAGCAGCATGCCCTATAAACCTAAAAAACACTCAATTCTTTCCATTCATATTCATTCAAGAAAATAAGCTCCCTCTTCAGTCCTTGCATTCATAGAAACTTGAGAACTTTATGCTCGAGGAGCTTGATAAAGTAGCATTCTCTGGTTTTGGGGGTGAGTTTTTTATTTTCCATTCATGGTAGGACAAAATTGTTCATGGGTTTTTTTTCTTCCCTTTAGTCTAATAAATTTAAGCCTAAGATAAAGTCTTGAGGTGATACTCTTTTAGAAATTTAAGGCTGAGGAGTATCATTGTCATTAGTGTCGTCACCTCCAACCATTACTTGGGCGGTGATGATCTCATGCATGGTCACGAAGAACATAAGATATCACCCTTTTTCTTTTTGCTGATGGGAGCGGTAATTTTTGAAAAAAAAAAAAGGATTGATTATTGTTTATGATGATTGCTGTGTATTATTTATTAATTCTAGGCACCTTGATTAAAATCTTGTTATCAATAAATAGTGCCAAATAATTAATGTTTCAAAAAGCTAAAAAAATATATATATATTTCAAGATGATAAGTGGAGACAAGAATTGAGAGAGAGAGTGAGTCCTGCAACGGGAAGAAGTCCTAGGTAAAATAGGAGAGTCCTATAGTTGAGATATCCAGGGAATCTCTTTAGCATTTGGGGATTTCTTTCTCTTAAAGAAGATTAAGGATTATAATTACCCATTCTCCTTCTCGAACTTGCTCCCACTTTTCATCTTACAAGTTGCAATATAATCAGGGGATTCAAACTGTGAAGAAAAAACTTGAGGACCCCCAAATATCCTGATCCTAATCCACTGATTCAACAATTTTGCCTAAACCAAAAATCCTCATTCAGGCACAAAGTAGAAAAAAAAATCCAAAACCCTCAAAAAACCCTTTTATGAAACTATCATTAAATCAAAGCAGAGAACCCACAGAAAAACCAACTGTCTGTGTCATGATGAATGTGGTAATAACCATCATTAAACCACAAAATTATTATGCAAAGAAAGAAAATAAAAAAAAGGCACAAGTAAAAAAAAATTCAACACATTTTGGGGTTTTTTTATCCCCAAAACCCTAATCCGCCATTAATCTAATTTTCCCCTAATTTCAACAAGAGAAAATTAAGTATCTGATTTAGAGGGCCAAAAGTCTACAGTAGTGGCTTCAGATAGATAGTTGGTAATCCAAACACAATCAAGCTAGTTGTCGCGTTGCGTTTGATATTAAAATTATATCTTGTGTTTTCATTATCAAGAGGGCAACTTAATAATAATAATAATAATAATAAATAAATAAAAATAAAACTGCTGGGGAAGATGTGGTGTTCATAATATTTAGAAACAATATTACCAAATGGTAACAAAGAGCCCCAAATAGTGTCATAATTTGTTCTAGTTTTTTTCTAAAATTTTTAAAATAGTTTCTCTCTATAAAATTTAAATTTTGAGATAGTTTCTCGCTCTCTAAAAATTTTGAGATAGTTTTTCTTTCTGAAAAATTTGACATAATTTCTCTTTCCAAAAAATTTCAGGTATTTGTTCTCTCTAAAACTTAAAATTTGACAAAATTTATCTATGTAAAATTTAAAATTTGATATAGTATCTCTCTCTAAAAATTTTGAGATAGTTTCTCTCACCAAAATTTAAAATTTAAGATAGTTTATCTCTCTAAAAAATTTCAGATACTTTCTCTCTATAAAACTTAAAATCTGAGATAGTTTCTATCTCTATGAATTTTCAGGTATTTTCTTTCTATAAATTTAAAATTTGAGATAGTTTCTCTCTATGAATTTTAAGATAGTTTCTCTCACTAAAACTTAAAATTTAATATAGTTTCTTTCTCTAAAAAAATTGAGATAGTTTTTCTTTTTAAAAAATTTCAAGTACTTTCTCTTTGTAAATCTTAAAATTTTATATAGTTTCTCTATCTAAAATTTTTGAGATAGTTTTTCTTTAAAACGTGTTTAGGTACTTCTCTCTCTAAAATTTGACTCAGTTTCTCTCTCTAGAATTTCAAGATATTTTCTCTCTCTAAAACTTAATTTGAAATAGTTTCTTTTTGTAAAAAATATTGACATAGTTTCTTTCTTTAAAAAAATTTAAATAGTTTCTCTCTCTAAAATTAAATATAGTTTCTCTCTCTAATATTTTAAGATATTTTTTTCTCGAAAACTTAAATTATGAGATAGTTTCTCTCTCTATTTCGTGGAGGTGTTCCGGTAGAATTATCTGTATTTTATAAAGTTGGATCTCGTTGGAAATCAATTTTGGATTTCTTTTTTTGGCTTGAAATGAGAAAAATAATTTACGAGCAAAAATACTTTTCAATTCCAAAGTTTCGATCCAAATACCAAAAATATGTCATCTCCACATAAAAATATTTCTAAAAATGCATTTCCAAGTATCCAAATGGCCCCTTAGAGCTTTCGAATCATTTTAAGAGCTTGCCCTTTGAAGTCTCAAACAAATAACTTGGTAACCCTGGGTCTAAAACCTCAAGATGCTGACTTCATATTCAGTGTTCCCTCTTGCTCTCCGGCTTAATGAAGGGACCCAATCACTAATATCTTCTAACATCTTATTTCCTTGGAGTCGCCATCCTCTTTTACAAACTATGTACTTCACAATTCAATGTCCACCTTTATGGTACGTGCCTCTATCTTTATCTTAAGAATTTATTATCATTATAGCCTTTTCCAAACTATTTATCTTAAAAAATAAATATCTTAATAATGAGCATAAAAAGCCTTGATGAAATGGCAATCTATTTAAAAAGAGATATAATGAGAAAATATTTTGGTTAGTCTTAGAGAAAACCACACAAGCTGCAAACTCATTGGAGAGGAAAAGGCAACAGGTCCCACATTTTAGTAAGGGATTATATATTATAAGACCATTTAGGCAGTGAGATCATCCAGCAGAATTATAAGACTTGAAAAATATAGGGAATTCATCAAGGATGTGGAAAAATGGCAACATCACTACATATTTTGAAAAGGTATTGAAAATTATAACATGATTTATCTTTAATACTGTGAGGTCATTGTTACACCTAGCTATCTATGGGAAGTCAAGCAGCTGGAGGTGTTCCATAGATGTTTGAAATATATTTTGAGCATTCAGTTAGATAAATAGCAGACCCAACGCATTGATCTAACATCTAATGGCTAAGAATAACAGTAACCTTCTTGTACCATAGTCTTATTGCATACTTTTCTTTTTAAGAATAGGGTTTGTGTACAATGAGTCCATTACATTTTATAGAGAAATATCACAAACACCTCAAGCCATGCACAATTAGACAATTAGGGGGTGCCTTTAATCCTTGTAAAGCCCAAAGAAATTTTTTTTGGGTTTCAAGCATGGTCAATAATAAACGTGATGATTGTAACACTTATGTACAAAAAAAAAAATTAACCTTATTGTATACTTCATGTTAAAAATATCAAGTGAAAGCACCTTTCAATTGCTTCCAAGGGTTCAACAAGCACCCTCCTTAATAATTTACATGATTCTAAATGGTTAGCCCATTCTCTTTGCATCATCACCATCCATCATTCCGATGGATAGGGATTACCAAAGAGATTGTTTTCTCCATTTGTCCTTTAGGATTAAAACAACTGATAATTGTTCTAAAATTCTAATTATATGGATTGATAATACTTTTCTTTTATTCGAACAATGAACTACCAAGGATAAAGTCTTATTACAAATAATTTCTATCCAAATTATGAGTGACATAGCTTGATACTTAAAGAGTATGAATAGTATACAATAACACCGCTTACTTTTGATATAAAGATACCATAATTATGTATAGCATTATATATAGAATTGGACAGTTAAATTTGTCATTGACTAGATTCAATTACTAAGATATTTTTCCAATAATATAACATAATTCAATATGTTGAATTTCACATTGGCACCTCCTTGTACAAAATAAAATACAGTCTCCTTAGATATTATATCTTCTCTTATATAGCGGCTTTATCTAACTTGGCTTAAAACAAACTTGCAATGAAAACTAACTAAAAACAACTATAATATTTAAAAAATGGACTGAGCAGCACCATATGCTTCAGTTGCATGTGACTTTCATTCCCAACACCTTCAAAAACTATTCACCGGATTTATATTCGCCATTGTATTACCCAAAAAAAAGAAAAACAGCTTTTATATTTGGACATTGACTGTGGATTATAAGCAAATTTCGGCTCCAAGAGTTGATTAGACGACCAAACGTCCCTTATCCTCATTGTGTGGCCCTTAAAACATAGAAAATAGCAAAAAGCGGGCCCATCCGAGTTGGAAAAAGCTTACGCCCAGATGCTCAATTTGTGGTTCCGTCAGAAAAACTTCGTGGGCACTGATACCGCTTACCATCACTGAAACCACTTAAGTCTGGTTTTGTTGCCGCCCAGATTGACCCATGTTCAAGATCCAAGGAAATTCTTACCGTTATTTTTGGGTCTTATTTTTTGGGAATTTGGGTGCTAAACTTTGTGTGGTTTATTCAAAGACATGGTATTAGATGTTGGTTTTTTTTTTCCTTTTCTTTAACGGCATATTGTGGAGAGTTTAGACATTCAAGAAGAAGTAATTGATATATTTGGGGCTTATACATTGGATATGGTGATTGGTGTGTGGGTTTTCTCTGATGGATTGTTGATATTTATTGTTTTTGTGGAGCTGTATATTATGAGATCTGGTGTTGTTAAACATTCAAGAAGAAGTAATTGATATGTTTGGGGCTTATACATTGGATATGATGATTGGTGAATGTGGGTTTTCTCTTATGGATTCTTGATATTTTTGTTTTTGAGGAGTTGTATATTATGAGATCTGGTGCTGTTTGGGGATTTTTTTAATTCTATTTGTGATAGAAATTTATGCATAGGGAGAATTGAGAACACCAAGCCATTAATCCAATTGGGTTCTTTTATTTTTTGGTCATGATTTCTGGCACATTGAGTGTTTGCATTTTGATGTGACTTCTAAGATCTGGTCAGTAGTTTCAGCTATAATTTTAAGTGATTGTTAGGGATATAAGAAGAAGAAATCCCTGATTTTTTAGCTAGAACTTCATTATTGGTTGGGCATATAAGAAGAAGAAATCTGTAATCAAATTGAGTTCTTGGTAGCTTTTTGCGTTCTTTGGTGTTCTGAATTTTGAGGTATTCTTGAGGAGATGGTTACTGTGAATCTTGGGGTTCTTCACTATGTATTGGACCATCTTTATGGGGCGTTTATGCACCGAACCAAATTATCCACACCCTTTTTCTCAAAGGGATGGGGTGGTAGCAAGCTTGATATGTTGGAGACTATGATCAAGCAATTTTTCCCTGAAAATGCGGGCAAAACATGGCCCCCCAATATGGTTGAGCCTCTGTGGAGAACAGTTTGGGAGACCAAGACTGCTTGCCTCAGAGAGGGGATTTTCAGGACTCCTTGTGATGAGCAGCTGATCAATGCATTGCCACCGGAATGCTATGATGCTAGGGTTGCTTTCCTCTCCTCCAAGTCTGTACCTCCGCATAAAATGTCTTGTGTGGTCCATCTTGCAGGTAATGCTCGAATTGATGATGGGTTCATGGTATTATGCTTTGTGCCTATTATTTTATGTCCATTTTTGTTGCAACTGATAATGCTGTTATGATCTATTGTTGTTGCAGCTGATAATGCTGTTATGGATAAGTGCTCTCTCTTATGATATCATGCTCTATGCCTATGCTTTAGTAAATGTGTTTGTGTAGGTTCATGAATAAATGCTGATAAATGGAGCCAGATTGTGTTATCCTTCTTAGAATTTGAACATAATTCTTTTCTGTTTACTAATAAAATGAAGTATACTGAATCATGCAAAGTGAGAACTTGATAGGACTATACTCTTAGAAGAATCAAGGAGGTTAAATGTCCTATGCAGTCCATACAGTTTGTGATCTGATGATATCAAGGGTCGTAACTTGTGATCACCACACTGATTTTGGTAGTAGATCAAATTTTGAGTATAGAATCAAGCATCATGAAGAACGAAATAGGTTTTGAATCTATAAGCTATAATCCATCATAACATTACCTTAGGCATCAACAATACCTTAGGCATCGTTTGCCGGTGGGGTCAATTTCCTCTGCCTTATGCAAATAGTACCATAGGGAAAAGACCCCATAAAGTCTTTATAAAACAGGGGTTAGAAGTGGAGTTTTCATTACATGCCCGATGGTAAAAGTAGCTAGCAAACGGTGGTCTATTGACCACCAACACATCTTAACCATATTGAATCTTTCCAGTGAAGATTCCCTAATGTAGGATTAATGAGTGTTTATTATTATTATTTCTTTTGAATCTTAGTGACGTTTATCAATCTAAACTGAAAACTTTTAGGCAGTCATAAAAGATTCCTGCTTTGAGATAGGATACTTTATCAAGTTTTATCATTTGTCATCTGTTCCATTGTGTACTAGAAGTAGTCTAAACCAGTATGCAGGAATATTTGTGTTCTCTATACATGCAAGTATTTCAATTAACTCGTCATTTTCATCTTTTTCTTAGATGTTGGAAAATTCTCCGACGGCATGGAGCCCCTTGTACATCTTATAGGGCACCAGAGAGAGGCAAACTGTTATATGTTTGAGTTGTTTGAACCATGTTTTTTACTTTTCAGAAAGAGTTTATTCTTTGGCTCGTAGCCAACATGAAAATATAGCCATGGGCCAACTTAATTAGTTCACTGATTGATGCCATCACAATTTGCAGTCCATGTGAGACTGAGTTCAAAATGTGATTGGTTATAGATAGATCACCACCATCTTGATAATATTCAGGTGGAAACTTTTTTTATACCAAGAAATTGGATGATATTCCGAATTTCATTTTTTCACAGCATGAATCACACATATGTGTGTATTAAGTGACCATGCTATAGCCTTTCCAAAACACACACACACACACACATGCGTGTGCATGCACACAATCATATGTGTGTGTATTAGGTTTTAGTTTTAAATCTTTCCCTTCTTCTTAATTAATGAGTTTCGTAACTTAGTTGATAAACGAAGAAAGGAAATGTCAGAGCTGCATCTCAGATGCTCATGCTAAATATGGTTCCTTTAATTGTCCCTCTCAGTTGTATCTTAGATGCAATGTGCTGTTTACATATTTTGGTAACTGCTGAGTCACAAAAAGCCCAAACTGTGTTTCTGAAATTCTAGGAGCAGCAAAGTGACAGATCTACTGCATGCAATAGATTAGGGTTATACATGAAGAACGAAAGAGCTCGAAATTCTTTTACTTTTGGTGGCAGGAAATGTAGAGATGAAAATGACAAAAGAGAAGTCACTGACAACCTGATCCAGATGCCAAGTTGGAAACTTTTGCCTCTGAATATGGTATTGGAGTGGAATGGGGGACAGCACCTGATGGCTTCCTAGAACAAACGAGAGGCACCGAGCAAGGATGAGATACCACATAAGAGAAAATGAGTTATGAGGGAGGCAAAGGCGATAAGAGATGGGGAATTGTGTCTGATTAACTTGGCTTTTCATTGGTTCTTAATTTTCTATTTTTCATGAGGGTTCAGTCTTTCTAGACTATTTACTCTATAATGTTGTTATGATCAGTGTTTTGAAAATGCAAATCTTGGTCCAGTGATGAGTGTATTCAGAATGATAACCTAGGAATAGTTGAGGTTATATTTATTTTAGAAAATTGTGAGCATTCGAATAAGCTTTTTCTCACAACAAGCTAAGGAACAACTTCTCATCAAACAGGTATAAGGGCCTTTTGGATCTTAAAATGCACTCATATCTTGCCCCATATGAAGTCTAGCTGACTTGGTCATGTTTCTTAAAGTCATCGTTATAATTTGTATCTAACGATGTGATAATGAAAGTATAGACTCTATAGACAATCTTACGCAATGATTCATCAGCAAATCCAGAATAGATTTAACCTTTTGCACTAACTCTTGGATGCTGAATAATCAATTCTAAAATGACTGATTGTTGGGGCCTCCCACATTCGTAGTGGTGCCCATCAAGCATAGAAAATATAATGCTCAAGGCTCAAACTACTTTATATAGTCGTGGTTTTTGTCAGGGAACCATTTATTTAAACAAAATAAATAAATAATAAAATAAAATAAACTACATATGAAATAGTGTGCCACACTGCAATACTGGTCAATCAGCATATGTTTTCAGCATTCACAGTCTACGCATAGAAAGGAAAGTTTAGCTGATTAGGTTTTGGTAAATATGCATTTCAGGAACTGGGGATCATTCATTCGAGAGAAGACTACGTCTTGGGGGTCCATTGTTGAAAGAAAACATTGCAACCATGGTACTTGAAAGGTAACTATAGAGACACCAAAGTTTTCAGGTCAATTTCCTTTTTCCTTTCCGAATTCACATCATACGATGAATCACTTCACTAAAAATAACAAGAAGACACAAACAAGGCCTATTCTGTAGGGTTGACAAACCATGAGGGTTGATTTGAGATCAAATGTGCCGCAGCCCTTTCTATGGACATCGACGTCCTAGGCTGCAGCAAGGTGCAAAGCTCCTGTGTGTGAGTGACTTGCTGTTGTTAGGGAGGGTCACCATCGAGGAAGCCCGGAGTTTGTTATATTGGTTAGAAGCGGTGGCTGGGTATGGCAAGATGGGTGTTTGCGGACTCAGCATGGGTAAGGAATTTGTTGTAAGTCACAAAGCATACTTAAAACTGTCATTTTATGAGCCCATAGTATAAGTGGCAATATGATTCTATATATTTTCTGACAACTCTTGAAACATTATTTACAGTTGAATATTCGAAAAAATATCTTTTTATATGTATTATCTTTTCAACTTGACCCTCTAGACAAGGGTAAGGAGCATTGCCTCTCCCCTCATTCCTCACTTGAGCATGTGCACTTGCACACACGGACAATCACCCAATTTCATAAGAGTTTGGAAATGAATGCTTTCTTATGTATTAAAGGTAAAACTTTATATTTGATCCCACCCACATATAAATTATATGTTACCCCACTTAGCCGTTCGATCTAAATGGACGGCTAGGTTGTTCAAGTCACATAATGTCATGCCAAAACACTGTTTGATTTATTTTTTTTTAGAAAACATTTTTAAGTGAAATTTGGGCTGTCCCATCTTCTTATTGGGGGCGCACCTAGAAAAAAATAATAAAAAATATGCAAAAAGAAATTACCAAAATGCCCCCATAAATTTCAAGGGTATTCTGGTAATTTTTTATTATTTTTATTATGTGCACTTCTGTCAGATGCATGCATGCTTCAAATTTTGGTACAAAATGATTATAGAATAAAGATAAAAAATAAAACACTTTGAATTGTCATATTAAGATCTGACACTCGAAGCCAACTTGTGGCATTCGTGACTCAAGCCATCCCAGCCATCCACTCAGATCTGATAGCTGAGAGCAGGGATCACATATACTTTATATGTGGGTGGAGTAACATGTAAAGCTTTCCCAGTGTTAAAGGCTTTTTATACTTATCATTATTTAACTCATTGTAGTACGGGCATTTTTTGTGGTGAATTATCAGGTCTTTCTTCTCCTTTTTCACAGTCAGTAAGAATTTAAACTATAAGGTTTTCTTTGAGTTGGGTAATTTTTACTTACTAAAGCACTTACGACTTCCTCTGACGTTCTTTCTGAACTAGTCCAAGAAGCGACTTCTTGGATATGTGTTCTTTTTCATGAAGTAATAGCACAACTTCCCCTGGTTTCTAGTATTGGCTTTTAAGATTTTATTGAACATGTGGTAAGGGAAACTGCTTCTATAATACAACGGATTTTTACTGTTCGTTTGTGAATGCTGTACATTTAGGACAGATTTTTGCATCCATTTTGAAATGGACTTTTTTTACAGTAAGAGTTGGGTACTGAGAAGAAAGATGAGAACAATTGCTTGGATTTTTATCTATTTATTTATTTTTGGGGGTTGGGGCTGGGGGTGGGGGTGGGGGTGGGGCGGGGGCGGGGGCGGGGGCGGTGGTGGGGGATGGATTGGTGAATCCAAATAAGAAGGGTTTTGTAATTATATAAAAAAAAAAAATTATGAAGGAATTTACTATTCATCAATAGTAAAATAAGGGGGGGTTTCCAGCAATTTTTATGAATACTCAGTTGTTCCAGTCATACTCTTAGAAATTAGCATCTCCATCGGTTCTTACGTTGATTAAATCCGTATTTCTGAATATTTTCAGGGGGAGTTCATGCTGCAATGGTCGGATCACTTCATCCAACTCCTGTTGCCACACTACCTTTCTTATCTCCCCATTCAGCAGTTGTGGCATTTTGTGAAGGCATTCTCCAGCATGGGACTGCGTGGGAGGTGCTGAGAACTGATGCTGCCCAAAAAGTTGAGATGACGCTTGAGCAAGTGAGAGAACGGATGCGCTCTGTGCTGTCCCTAACTGATGTGACACGCTTCCCTATTCCGAAGAACCCTAAGGCTGTGGTCTTTGTTGCTGCCACTGTAAGTTCTCTCTCTCATTGAGTTGCAAACTATGTCTCACATCTTAGTGTATGATATATATATATATATATATATATATAAGAAAACTCTTTAAAACGCTATAGGTGATTTTGAACGATGTTTCGCCCACCACAGACATGCTATGTCCGTGGTGGTTTATTGAATGGAGCCATAACATACGACGCGTGATCTGTAGCGGTTTCCACGTGTTTTTTGACCGCAATAGACCTACTATGTCCGTTGCGCTCTTTTAATCCATGCCGTTCAAAAAATCGGACAGCTTGGAGCCTATGGGTGAAAATACTATTCATTTTTGCCT